AAAGATGGCTACATTTATTGTGGCACATCTTCTTTCACAAGCCAAAACCCACTCAATGGGACCCTTTCTAGAGAGCCACTGCCATTGAGAGCAGATGGACTGATAGATTGATTCAGTATAATGGAGCTTCATAAATCTGTATCTGTACAACTTACAAAATATGTACACTATCAACAGGCAGTTTTCAAGGCTGTCTATAGTGTCAAAAATACAAATTGTTATCAGTTAAAAATTAATCCAACCAGTGAACCAAACCACTCCAGTGCTATATCTCCAAACAGGCATCAGTAAACCAAAGGACATTTTCTTCAAAGCCTGGAATTATAGGCATTCGTTCTGGATTCCCTCAGCCTCTTACATCATTTCATTCATGGACAATATTCCAATTTGAACTTAAGAGTAGAAAATTAAACACTACCATAAAAACGCAAAAGGACCCAATTATGGTGCTGTTAGTTGCAGCAGCGACAATGGTTCCTCAAAGAACCCAGACACTGCTTGCCTTTAATCAGAAAATATCCCTCAGATAAAAAGAATCAAATACATTACCCAAGTGAATGAGTCTTTGATGTTTACCCACTGCTCAATCCAAGACGATTTATAGTTTCCTTGAAGCAGCCCAAGGCCGAATCTTCATGTCCTTTGACTTCTTGTTTATTGTTCAAAGTAATGTGGGTACTAGGACAGCTTCTAGACTATAGGCTCCTTTAGGCAAAATCTGATGGAGTCAATATCCCGCAAGGGCTTGACTTGATACTGTGGTTCAAGTGTTTAGACTTCATTTGGGACAGCAAGGTTCCAAGTCCTTGTTAAACTATACTCATTAAGTGGCCTTGAACAAGATGTCTCATAACAAGTCTGGAAGAAGTTGTCTCTATAAAATAGGGTCTGTCCATCATTTCCTCTTTCTGCTTCTTGTTCCTGGAACTCCCTCTCACAATGCCTAAGTGGTGTCTCTCCAAGTTATTTCAATAGTGCCAGGAATGTACATGGTACCCTAAGTAAAATATGAGTCCCTGCCCTGGGAGTTTATCATCAGAATTGGTGGGTTGGGAGGAGGAATACAACATAGAAGGGGAAGAAGCAGTTAGTGTGTCTAGCAAAGAAAGTTTCTTTATGGCTTTAAATAGTAAAAACTGAACACCATTATGGCCAAGCACCACAGCAAAATGAAACCATGCACAGTCGAGGGCTTTGGCATATTTAGGGGATTCCCGAGGTACACACAAGAACATTCGTTTGTAAAGCACAAGCCTGATGAGCATACTGTGCCCTCCAGGAGTACATCATGTCGAGGGCAACTGAGGAACAGTTAAAAGAGAGGAAAACAAGGTATAGAACTGGTGTGCTAAAATCCCAAATAGCTTATAGTATCCTGGAGAGTGTGATTTGGGTTAAGGGGGAAATTCTCAATTGTGTATTCCCTTCTATCCCATGATACCTCACAACTCCCAGCTTGTCATGCTGAACATGCTTGTGTGAATCTGCCTTGTGGTTTTGTTTTCTCTCCCCATTTTTTTTAGAGTGAGGCTGTGGCTCAGTGGTAGAGCACCTGCTTTGCATACCAAAGGTCCCAAGTTCAAGCTTGGGCACCTCCAGCTAACGGATTGGGTAGCAGGTGATGTGAAAGACCTCTACTTGACACCCTGAAGAGCCACTGCTAGTCAGAATAAACAGTACTGACTTTTATAGATCAGTGGTCTGACTCAGTATGAAACAGGCTTCATGTGTTGTTGCATATTTCCCTTGGTTCACCTGCTTTCTCTGTCTGGGGACACTGAGTTGTGGATTGCATGTGCAAGTCAGATTTTGTCTCACAGAAGGGTGGGGTTAGATGGACCAGGTGGCATCCAGCTCTGATTCTACTTTTCTCAGTCTGCCACTGCAGCCCGCCTCATTTTCTCATTCACATCTGTGTGCATCTATTCTTAATTGAACAAAAAGTTAGGAGGGCATGCATCCATTGGGATTGTCCTGTGTCCTTTTAAAGCCATGGAGATGAAAGCAGGATCTGCTTTCCAAAGCTTTGGCTTGCTGCCTTGTGGGAAGGGGATAAGGAAGGTGAACAGAACTTCCTTCCGGAATTACCAAGTTCCTTTGCCAAGAGACCTGGCCAGCTCTTCCCTGCTTCCTTCCCCTCCTGGCTTACTCGAGGATAGCCAGCTGCTTATTTCAACAGGTCCAGGCCTCCTTGTGGCCTAAGAGAGCTCACTTCAGTCTCTGAAATTTGAGTGAAATGGCTATTGATTGTATCTAGCCAGGGTCCAACAGCTGCAGCCCAACAAAGTGTGTGTGTATGTTGGGGGGGGGGGGTAGCCAGCTGTCTTGTTGGGATGGAAGCTCATCCTCTTCTTGGAGGCAAAATTAAGACATCAGTCAGAGAAGTATGTTTGGCAGGTCTGTGAAAACCAGAGGGCAGAGGCAAAGTCTTAAGGGAATGATCTTTAAAGGCCGTGCAATAATATAAACAGCGCAGAGTCTTCAATGGGCTTGCCTTTTGTTGTGGGGGTGGCATAGCTAAGGAAGGGTGGTTAAAATGAGGCTTGCTGAGTATGAGACGTCAGATAAAGCCAGAAGCCCTCGCAGGACATCAGTTTGCTGGCGACCATAGCAAGAAAGGCAATTTTAGACCTAATACAGATCTTCTGTTTCCAACAGTGGCTAGCCCAGTCCCTTGGAAACCTCACAGGCTGGGGAAGCCCACAGGGGCCTTTTCCTGCTGTTTACTCTAAGCACCAGGTATTCAGAGTTATATTGCCACTGAGTAGGACTAATGAGCCACTGATAGACCATCTTCCAGGAAAGTATGTCATTTTTTGAAACCATGTTAAGCTACTGGCCAATGCCACACCTTGTGCCATGTGAAAAAGTACTTCTTTTTTACTGTTCTGGGCCAGCTGCCAAATAATCAGCTTCACTGGGTGGGCCCTGGATTGGTCGGGGGGAGGGGGGACTCTCTCACCTCTCTCTTCAAAACTGTACATAAATCTCGTCATGTTTCCCATTATTTGTTTTCTTTCAAGGCCACAATTAAAACCAGTCAGCCTCTCAGACAAGGAAGAATACAGTATAGACAGTCACAAGATAATATGACAGGACAGAACACAAGGTGTTTCACATGTCGGAAGGGGAAACATGCGCGTCTCTCTTTTTATGGGTAAACATGGGTACCTATTGAGCCCATGGCCCCTGCAAGAAGATTGGCAGACCCAAGAGATAAAATATCCCAGCTGAATGTTTGCTCCGGGCGGATCGGCTCGCCGATCGGCCCTCGGTTTGGAGCCAGAGGGGGGGTGGGGGGAGAGAGAGAGAGAGAGAGAGGGGTAGGTAGGTAGGTTTGGGGAAGGAGAGGATGGTAGCGTGGACTGCTCTGCTGCTGTTCGAAGGTCATAGTATTAATTCCTTGCCAGAAATCTCACACAGGGAAGGATAAGCGAACAAGCCCTGCACTGCACCAGGACCCATAAAACAGGGCTAGCTGGACAGTGAGGAATAACTGGCTGGGAGGCGAGGGAAACATTTCTTGCTTTCGTTCCAAATCTCCGGAGAAACAGTGGGAGCTCTTCTCCATATGAGAGAGAGAGAGAGAGAGAGAGAGAGAGAGAGAGAGAGAATGTGCACTGAGGTGAACAAGTTTGAGTCACGTTGCACATTCAGGCACATTTAGAAAAGAAAGCCAAAGCCTGGATTTTTAGTTGTGTGGCCTCCAAAGGAATTGTGCTGGCCCCAAACAATCGCAATCTCAGCCAGGAAATCTCTGCTAAGTTGAGCAGCTCTGGTTCCAAGTATCCCCAGGACGGGAGCCTTCCCCGGGAGGGCTCAATGGCTCAGGGGAACAGGACACGGTTTGCATCCCTGGTATCTCCAGTTAAAGGACCTCAAGGAGTAGGGCTGGGGAAGGCCAAGACTTCAAAGAGCTGCTGCCAGTCAAAGCAGACAATACTGAGATAAAAGGAGCGGTGATCTGATTCAGTACAAGGCAGCTTCTTATGAGATGATGTTAGACAGCCCATGCTATGTATGTAGAAGGTCTCAGATGCAATACATAGTTAAAAGATCCCAGGAAACAGGACCAGGGAAGAAGCTTTACCTGCAAACCATTCCACGGCTAGTCAGTGTGAGCTATAATGGTTTCCATGGGCCAGTGATCAGATGTATAGTAGCATCTAGGGTTGCCAAGTCTATTTACCTTGGCAGCGGGGGAGCCTCGCCGGACTTCGGGAGCTGTCGGTGGAAGTGCGCGCCGCCAGGACGTCACCGGAAGTGACGTGCGATGTCGACATGTTGAGGGCGTGGCCCCGATCGTCGGAGGGAAAACCATAGAGTTTTCCTTCCGACGATCGGGGCCACACCCCCAACGTGATTGACGTGGTTGCGTCACCTCTGGTGACGCAGCCACGCTGCGCTTCGGGGGGCAGAGTTCCCCCCGGGGCCCGATTCTGTGGCAGTGGAAATCGGGCCTCCAAAGCGGAGGTTTACCCGCCACCCGCCCCCACTTGGCAGCCCTAGTAGCATCACATGTAAACGCTGCTTGTGTTCTTTGATAAAATTACTCAGATTAAGGGGTACCTTGCATAGGACATCCTTCCCAGAACATCAAACAGGATGCCCAGTCAGGAAGAATAATCTGGTTAAATTTGAAATATTTCCAGACAGGGTTCCCCCCCACCCTGACCTCTGGAAATAGTGGATAGTTTCAGAAAGTGTTGGTCTGTAGTAGAACAGCTAGATTTGAGTCCAGTAGCACCTAAGAGACCAACAAGATTTATGAGCTCTGACTCTCAAAGACTCATACCCTGGAAATCGTGTTAGTCTCTTAAGATGCTACTGAACTTGAATCTAGCAGGAAAGAGCGGGAAGGTCTCCCAGGTGGTTTATGTCTCCTCGTTCAGAAGTAAAGTGTTACTTTGGCCCCCTTTCCCAGAGTCTCAGGACACAACTAGAAATAAACGAGACAGAATAGATTTAATGCATTTTTAAATCAACAGTGTTAACCCCCCTTTTTTTTGACAGCATGTACATCCCGGCAGAGTGAACCCTGCAATAACCAGTCTCCCCCTCCCCGCCATATTTGCGCACATGAACACTGATCAAAACCAAAATATAGTCTGTGGTAACTCTTGATGGTAAAAGCCCACAAGTTTGTCCCTTTCTGCCACTCTGCCTACGCCAGTTTAATTTTGCTCATAGAAACTCCGGCTGTCTTCTGAGAGGCCCAGCACTTCTTTGAACTGGGAGACCACGCGTCCAAAGTGAGACCCTTCCCAGAAAACTTTGCCACACTGGCCGCAGCAGTAGAAGTAAGCCAAGTCCTCTTTGGAGAGCACCCCAATGGGGATGGCCTCGATCTTCAGGGATGTACCATTGGGCAGCAGTGCTGACTCGGTGTCCAGGCCAGACTCCTCCAGCCACTGGCAGTTTGGACTATAAACAGGCCGCCCAGAGCTGAGTTTGAGATCTTCAGCCTCAAAATTTACATTGGGATTTTCTGACAATTCCCCTGCAGAAAGAGAAAGTAAGAGAAAGTAAGAGATAGGCAGGCGCTGCTCTCTGCTATTCACGGCTGACACCCACCCACAGAGGAGGCTGTCCACGGCATCTCTACATGATTTGCTTAACTAGCTGTGCTTCAATCTAATCTGTCTGTTCTGAGAATTCTGCTGTGCACAGAATTTGCTGCCCTCAGGTCAGGTTGCCTGCTGCATCTACACAGACCCCTGGTTTAGGATGACCTCCTTCCAGTTACCTTGACTGGATGCCCGGGGGGGGGGGGAGAGAGTACAAGATCATTGTCTCATACAGATTGTTTTATTTGTTTTAGTTTACTTCATTTATAGTCTGCCTTTCTCTTTACCAAGGACCCAGAGTGGCTTACACCATTTTCCTGTCTTCCATTTTATCTTACAACAACTCTGTGAGGTAGGTTAGGGCTGAGAGTATTGTGACTGGCCCACAGTCAGCCATCAAGCTTCCAGGGCAAATACACAACAGGCAGCCTCTGAAGATAGTTATTCTGGGTGTTATTTAATTGATCTACTGGTAATTACTAGGCTATGGAGGGCCAAGAAAACAGATATGAAGTGCACTGCAGTACCTGAAGTAAGCAAGATATATGCCATTATTATTATTACTATTAGGAACCAACTTTTTTGCTATGTATAATCACTCTCACCTGTCTCCTCCTCCCAAAACTTACTGCAGAGAGAGAGAGAGAGAGAGAGAGAGAGAGAGAGAGAGAGAGAGAGAGAGAGAGAGAGACTGCTCCCTTAAAGAGCAGTTCCTTCTCCCACACCCCCTTTCCCGAACTCAGTGCCCCTTCCTAAAGAACGCCCTTTGTTTCTCAGGAGGCAGCAAAGAGATGACCTTTTCGCAGAGACCCCCTTGCCCTCCTAAGATTGTTTGCCTTGCTGGCACTCTGTGGACTGGCCCCCAGTGGCCTTTTCAAATGGGCTGTGGAGAAGGGAGACGGGCATCTTGAAAGGCCTTTGAAAAGAATTCCCTCCAAAGTTGGGGGGGGGGTGAGAGAAAGCTTTACAAGCTCACCATTGAAAAACAGTTACTTTGAAGTGATTTTGCGTTTTTGATTCTTTGAAGTGGCACTCTCCAGAGAAGCCACATGCTTTGTGGCCATCATGACTTGTCTTTCTCCTTTTTATAAATATTTCCCTCCCCCCATCCTAAAATAGTAATTATTCCTTGCTTTTACTACTCTATCTGTGCACTCCATTTTACAATACACAAAAATCATATATCATTCTGGTGTGAAATTTAGGATTGTGCATGCAATTTAGCATCTTTATGTCAGCTTTCCTTTCTTAAAAAAAAATACAACTAATGCAAAGTTCTAACCCTCATGGCCATAGGGATTAGTTTGCAAAGATATACAGTACCTTGTACCCCTTTTCCATAAGGATCTGAAGATGAATAAATTATCTTACATTGGCATAATTATCTGGGTTGGTTTTATTTTGCTATGTGAATTGAGTAGGTGCTTTTATGTCAAGAGAAATGGGGGGGGGGAGAATCTCAGCAAGAGTATTTGGCTTTTATTAGCACAGGAAAACTGAATTCTCTGACCTGTACAAAGTATGCAAATGAGATTTGCATACATCTGCTTAATTTTCATAATTTATTCTATTTCTGATAGGGTTGCTAACTCCATGTTGGGAAATTTTTGGAGATCTGTGGGCGAAGCATGTGGAAGGTGGGATTTGAGGAGGGGTTGAATCTAAGCAAAGTATAATGCTATGCAGTCTGCCCTTCAAAGCAGCAGTTTTCCCCCAGGGGAACTGATCTCTGTAGAGAGATCTCCAGGCCTCACCTGGAGTTTGGCAGCCCTAGCTTCTAGGGAGGGCCAACAAGTAATGCTAGGCCTTGGAATTACACATTTAAATGACCACTGCAAACCCCTCTCCCTCTTCCATTCCAAAACTTCAAGCACTGCCTTCAAGGCCACCTTTGCAACCATGAGGGATCTGAACTTGTTCTGCCCCACCCCCACTCCAGTGAAAGCAGAGGATTGCTAGATGCTGAATTCCTGTTCCAGTAGGAGTGAGTGTACTTTGAGAGAGTGCTGGTGGGTAGTAAAATCTTTGTTCAAGTTTTAAAAACACACCCTGGGAGCATTCTTGGCAGTACAAAGGTCCCTGAGAACCTTTTCCTTGGCGAAAGATCACACCTGATAAGAGAAGTTACGAGCCTGAGAAAAAGTCCTGGGCTCAAGGATTTCAGGCAACCCAAGATGCCTGGTTATCTTTTGCTACCAGATAAGGGTGAACAACACAGGGACAAGGGACTCTGCATGACGTGGGCCACCCCTGTCTGAAAGCAACAATTACAGTGTCAGTCCGCAAAGGGTTCCACCCCAGAGATCTCTTGCCCCTTTTAGTCTAAGTCTCGGCATCCACTTGTGTGCTGTGGCCACTGCTAACATCTGACTGGCCAGACCAGAATTTTGTACCCAGGTCCACTTGCCAGAACTGGAAGATGCAAAGCCAAGACAAATAACAATCCAGACAGGTCATTCTCACATGTGAACTAGACAAGAATGCATTGCAACGGTTCCTTCTCCCTCCCCATAATTTTCCTGCATGAAAGCCCCAGTGTCCTGTCATACTCTAGCACGACCCCAATGCATGCAGTCTGGGGCACAATTAAGCAATGGTTGAGTGTGCTTTTCAACTCCAGCTCAAGGACTGTCCAGGTAAATGGAGTAGCTTTCTCCCCCAACCCAGTTCGGGAGGGGTGTTGAAAGACCTGAGTCAGATTGAGGTGACGAGAGAGGAGGTCCTAAAACTGATAGACAACTTAAAAACTGATAAATCACCAGGCCCAGATGGCATACATCCGAGAGTTCTGAAAGAACTCAATTGTGAACTTGTGGATCTCCTGACAAAAATATGTAATCTCTCCTTAAAATCTGCCTCCATTCCTGAGGACTGGAAGGTAGCTAATGTCACTCCCATCTTTAAAAAGGGTTCCAGAGGAGATCCGGGAAATTACAGGCCAGTCAGTCTGACGTCGATACCGGGTAAATTGGTGGAAACCATTATTAAGGAAAGAATTAGTAGGCACATAGATGAACAAAACCTATTGAGGCAGACTCAACATGGGTTCTGTAAGGGAAGATCTTGTCTCACTAACCTGTTAATGTTCTTTGAGGGGGTGAACAAACATGTGGACAAGGGGGATCCAATAGATATTGTTTACCTTGACTTCCAGAAAGCTTTTGATAAAGTTCCTCATCAAAGGCTCCTAAGTAAGCTCAAAAATCATGGGATAAAAGGACAAGTCCTTTTATGGATCAAAAACTGGCTAATTAATAGAAAACAGAGAGTGAGTATAAATGGGCAGTTCTCCCAGTGGAGGGGGGTAAGCAGTGGGGTACCACAGGGATCAGTACTTGGTCCACTGCTTTTTAACTTGTTCATTAATGATTTGGAGTTGGGAGTAAGCAGTGAAGTGGCTAAATTTGCGGATGATACGAAGTTGTTCAGGGTGGTGAAAACCAGTGAGGATTGTGAGGCACTCCAAAGGGATCTGTCAAAGTTGGGCGAGTGGGCGTCAACATGGCAAATGGGGTTCAATGTGGCCAAGTGCAAGGTGATGCACATTGGAGCCAAAAATCCTAACTATAAATACACGTTGATGGGGTCTGAACTGGCAGAGACAGATCAAGAGAGAGATCTTGGAGTTGTAGTAGATAACTCACTGAAAATGTCGAGACAGTGTGTGACTGCAATAAAGAAGGCCAATGCTATGCTGGGGATTATTAGGAAGGGTATTGTAAACAGATCAGCCAATATCATAATGCCGCTATATAAATCAATGGTGCGACCTCATCTGGAATACTGTGTGCAATTCTGGTCACCACACCTTAAAAAGGATATTATAGCTTTGGAAAAAGTGCAGAAAAGAGCAACTCGAATGATAAAAGGGTTGGAACACTTTCCCTATGAGGAAAGGTTAAGGCGCTTAGGGCTCTTTAGCTTGGAGAAACGACGACTGAGGGGTGACATGATTGAGGTTTATAAGATTATGCATGGGAAAGAGCAGGTAGAGAAAGAGGTACTTTTCTCCCTTTCTCACAATACAAGAACCCGTGGGCACTCCATTAAATTGCTGAGCGGTCGGGTTAGAACGGATAAAAGGAAGTACTTCTTCACCCAAAGAGTGATTAACACTTGGAATTCACTGCCACAGGAAGTGGTGGCGGCTACAAGCATGGACGGCTTCAAAAGGGAATTAGATAAGCATATGGAGCAGAGGTCCATCAGTGGCTATTAGCCACAAGGTATAGATAGGGACTCTGGGGCAAGTGATGCTCTGTCATCTTGGTGCTTGGGGGGGGGTCAACAGTGGGAGGGCTTCTAATGTCCTGGCCCCACTGGTGGACCTCCTGATGGCACTGGTATTTCTGGCCACTGTGGGATACAGAGTGTTGGACTGGATGGGCCTTTGGCCTGATCCAACATTGGCATCTCTTATGTTCTTATGTTCTTAATGGTTGAGTGTGCTTTTCAACTCCAGCTCAAGGACTGTCCAGGTAAATGGAGTAGCTTTCTCCCCCAACCCAATCATACTCCCTTGAATTCATTCAAATGCAAGGACTTAAGAAGAGCCCTGCAGGATCAGGCTGAAGTTCAGCCACCTACTTCCCACAGTGGCCAATGAGATGGTTCCAGGAAGCCCACCTGGTGCTCCCGACAGCCCTCTCCTGCTTGACTGACTGCCAGCCAGTCAGTAACTGCCATGAAGATGTATGTGCATGAAAGTTACACTACGTGATGATGGCTAATAATTCCTGAACCTTAAGAACATAGGGATTTCCTTGCTGGATCAGACCAATGTCCATTATCTCCAGGCAGCTTAGCTGGATGAATCCAGGGCACCCAGAAGCCCAGCATCAAGCCCTTTCATGCTCATAGGGAAGAAAGAGAGAGCTGTGCTTAAGAAACCTTTGGCAGCATTACTGAATGACCTGGGGATTAGCCTGTAGCT